CTCTAATTAACAATTGGTTCATGCTTTAGCGTGCACTATCGAGTTATGGAGCACGCGGGAAGTTTGGAGAGCACGAAAGAAGCGTAAGAGTTGCCCGAGGCGATAGCCGAGGGCAACTCTAGCTTCTTGAGTGCTCTCCAAACTTCCCACGTGCTCCATAACTCGATAGTGCACAGCTGAAAGCATGAACCAATTGTTTTAGAACATAGCCGGTGGAATTGTGCATCAAATGCGACGCGAAAAACGGACAACAATATCAGTTGAAGCGAATCGTGACGGCGCTGATGCCGAGTCTCCTTTTCCTTTGTTTTTCTCTTTTTCTGCCTCATTTAAGAACTCTAGACCAAGGGAAAAGGTCGAAACATTGTCTTTGTTTTCGGACTAGTAGGCCGAGTCTCTGTTTGTATCCATTATTGTCGCGAAATATATTATTTTTCCCCGCGCAAACAATGGCCTCTCGCGCGAAAAAAAAATTACTAGCGAAGCAATTTGCTGACGCTATCGGCGTGCACTATCGGGATTTTGAGCACGCATACGTAGATTGAATTTGATTTCGCGGTTCTGCTAACTATGTTCTAAAAAACTGTAGCCATGCTCATCGGCATTCCTAAAACTTAAGCCTTACATCGCTGAATGCACATTTCGGATTGTTGTTTCATCTGAAATATTTTAAATTTCAACTCGCACGACGACCATCCGAGAGACTAAAGTAACAAAGAGCGAAACTTGTTTCGAAAGTTTAAATAAGTGGATTCATTTTAAAAACGATTGCTTTTTCCTTATCTTCTCTTAATTTTAAATGAATTTTAAGATCTTCAACTACACAGAGGCAAGCATTCGTTTAACAAGTCATATATTTTTTGCAGGATCCGGTGCAAATTTCCTCAAGAGGTTGATGGCTATCGAGGAAATGAGTGAGTGGAAGTATCATTTAGGACCATTTAGTTTATCGTCTCAATAGTTATTTGATTTTCTACGATATTATCAAGAGAATATTAACTGTTTCTTTTCTCTTGATTCTTACTTGTGATCTATTGGACGACAGACGCCAAGATGACGTCACTATCAACAGGATATTGCATTTTTAATTTAATCATATAACACAAATAATGTACAGTGATAAAGATCACAGAAGACGCCAAAATATGATAGGAACATCAGTCCCTCATTTTCGGCGAAGTCCATCGCGCGAGTAAAACAAAAAAAAAAACAGTGAAAAAAAATTGATGCTAGCGCGCTGCTGGCAATCCTTGGAGTGACACCGATGCGCCGCAGGAGCGCCATGAGTGAGGCGCTCGAACAACCTCGTTTCCAGGGTCTCTCATCTTCCCACCCCCTGGAGCTCCAGGGGTCTGGAAGATGAGAGACCCTCGGAACGAGGTTGGCGCTCGAAAAGTATTGGCGCGCTCGGACTCGTGCTCGGACTTGTGTAATCTACATCAGTGAACTCACGGTGCCACTTTTGCGTTGTTACGCATTTTGTTGCAATTTGTGATCTGTTGCTGAACAGTTGTACGGTAAAATGGAATCTATTTGTTTGAAGTTTGGCTAAGAGATCATTTAATTTTTATCTCCGACGATGAGAAGTTAACAAATGGACAGTGGTTTAGCTTGGTCTGTACTCTAATCGACAACGAAACAATACCGACGTCCAATAAAAACGATTCTTTCAGAGCGTGACACGTTACTCTATCGACAACGGCAACTTGACCGATCAGATTGCGAGATTACTGCCACTCGTAGTAAAATACGCCTTGTATTATGACATCGCCCGCGCTTGGAGATCCTTAACAGTGGTAAAACCTTTCGAAATTGTCCTAAGTCGTAAAGAAGGCACTATTTTTTTTTTAAACAACTTGGCCCGGTTTTACTTGTTATAATCCCGTATTTCTTTCCTTCTTGGTCTAGTTTTGTATTCGAGGCGCGTGATGTCTTGCTGAAATACTGATCTCGGTATTTCATCTCTCATATACGCTGCAAGAAATTCACAGATTAGAATACAATCCAAGTCGAAGGGATTCCCAGGAAACGTCGGCCGGTGAAAGTCTTCCGAGTTAAAAAGAAATTCACGCGAGACTTGAAGACTTTGTTTGCTCTGGGACTCATACGGTTTTCTTTCATCCTTCACACCATTAAGTTAAAATCTCTCACTGAAGTTTTTTTTGTCTTTAAGATCGGTTTGAATAATCAGGAGCTCAGCTAACTTTTAGCCGCAAGAGTGGCCGGTATTTGTGAACCACTCATTGTGGTTTTGTTTGTGCAGCTAGATATCAGAGATCTTATTTCCTTTCTTTCAAGGACAGCCTCGAGTCCAATATTTGCTCATTTGAAGACAGTTTCGAATGTTTATGTTACCTCTCAAGATCGCAAAATGCGTAAGGTGGCAAATTTTGTGTAACTCTGTTAAGTCTACGACTTTCTAAGGTCTTCTTCACGTTTGTTTTGTTTATATGTTTTCACCTCAACAGATGGGTTTGACCTTGAAGATTGTGCTAAAATAGTGTATGGGAAATGTGGCAGACAATTCAGCCGAAAATTGAAGAATAACCCTGGATACGATGTCATGAAGCTGTGCAAAGTATTTCAAGAAGAAGGGACTTGTACATCCATAGAAGCTGACAAATACGATTGTAAAAACTCCCGACTCCTCAACCGGTTCAAAGAAAATTCCATTGAAGCTGCCTCGGCTGTTTTAAATGGAATTTGTACCCAACCCTAAGGGGAAAGTCGATGGTGGGGATGCTTCACTTCCAATAACAAATACAATTTTAGTTTGGCCAAACTAGTATTCACATATTGATAATAAAAAAAAATAATAGTATGTAATAACTGTAAAAATAACCAGCACTATCATCATAAAAATTACAGCTTCCATGATTGATTCGTTTTAAAAAACTCCTATTTCCACTAATTCGCAGTTTGTTATCGGACAGTTCAATAAGCCAATCACACTCAAAGTTGTAGTTTAACTCAACTAAGCATAACTTTTGCGCCTCCTCAGTCTTTTAATGCAAATTTTCCCTTTCTTTCATAACTTAGCTATTCTTCTTTTCTCGGAAACTGTAATTTTTATAAAGAATTGGTGATAAGACTTCGCGTCGTCCAATTCGATCTGTAATCATTCTCGTGATAAACAAATCAGAATCCAGCTTCGCAGTCGTCCGAATTTGTCATCACTCTTAATTTCTACACAAAATTGTTTGGTCCATTTAAATTTTATTTCTTATCTTCGAAGATATTGGCATAGTTGTTTGCTATCTGTAATTCGAAGTTAAATAAAGGTTTTCACTTTCACTCGTATGATTACAGACCGAATTGGACTTCACTCAGTCTAATGAAGATGATAACTGGGTCATGATTGTGTTTATGGGAGGATTTACATGAAACAATTCAGTTATATTAATGGCCCAAACAGAGATGAAATTCAGTGAATCAATAATTTGCAGTATCGCTCGAAATTAGCTCTTTACGTGCAGCCTACAAGTAGTTATTGCAGCATGTACCTATCTTAGTCATGAACGCAATAAATCGATGAGTAAAACAAAATTGGCGTATGCCAGATGCATTTTGTTTTAAATAGTTTCGTGATTTCCTACCACCCATACAAGTGAATCCTGTTACTTTTTCTCTCCATTAGGACGTATTTTTCCTTCTTAACGTCGAGTTAGTATTCCATCGATCTCAACTGAGAATTCTAGAAGGGCGTAAGAACACGATTGAAGCGATAGGTGAGCGAAGAGATTGAAAGTTTTAGAAACTTATTATTGTGTTCACGTGGGATATTTGTCTCGATTTGTAAGCAGTTGAGTGCATTGTTCATCCACGTATTCTAAAACAACCGTGCTTCCACTTAAAACTAGACAATCATCTTGCGATTGAAAGTGTTCCAAAGGATGTTGCAAGTCCAGAACGTCTCCAGAACTTCCATGAAACAGTCGTAACTTCTAATAAGATCGAGAAATAGAGTATTGTAATTAGTGGCTGATTTAAACGTTGAGGTTCAGAAAAACATACAGAGGTAAGCTTTGAAAATAAATATTCGAAAACAGGTTGTAATCACTGGTGGGTTTCCATCACGAACAACAACAGGGACACCTTGTTACTGTGACCCTGTTCGCTCTAGCATCAATATTAATGGAATTTAAAGAAATATTAAATAAATATTAAGGTGATTCCTCAGTATTGCATTGCGCATCCTGTACGCGCATAAAAACCCGTAATGGAAAAGGAATATAGAGAAATGTGAATCATGGGACCCTTGTGGGCCTGCAGACGAAAACGAAATCAAGAAAAATCACGCAACGAGAGCTTGGAAGAACAGAGTTTTTAGACCTCAATCAAAACAAGCAACGAGGAAGCAACATAAACTAGGCTCCTGCTTCCCAATACTTTAAACAGAACAGTATTGGGCCATTAGACAGTTCTTACCTTTGACTCTGCCTTGTTATTATCATTTTTCAGTCTTGCAGTGACCGCAATTTTGTCTATGACTTTTCCCACCGTCCAATACTGAAATTCAAACCAAAAATTGCTGGAAAGTTATGACATTTACCTTTTTCCGATCACATGGC